ACCTCTAACCAACTGTTGTCACCAACCTCCACTAACGTTTACCGACGTCTGGAATCACATCCTAATATTTACAACCTCTAACCAACGTTGGACCAACGGTTGTAACCAACCTCCATTTTAAACGTTTACCGATGTCGGGCCAATCGCGTTCTGTGACGTTGAGACAACGTCTGTAATCACATCTAATATTTACAACCCCTAACCAACGTCGGGCCAACGGTTTTAACCAACCTCCATTTCAAACGTTTACCGACGTCGGGCCAACAACGTACTGTGACGTTGAGACAACGTCCGCAATCACATCTAATATTTACAACCTCTAGCCAACGTCGGGCCAACGGTAGTACCCAACCATCTTTTTAGTAGTTTGCCGACGTCGGGCCAGTAACAAATCGTGACGTTGTACCAACGTCGGTAGTCAGACTGAATATTTACGACGGCGTACCAACGTTGGGACGACATCGGAAAATCGACAAATATATTCATACGTTGGGCCAACGTGAAATTCCAATGTTGGTTTGACGTTACCTCTCCGACCAAATTTTGCAACCAAACACCAACGTCGTACCAACGTCAGATATCCAACCCCGACGCTTACCGACGCTTGCCAACGTTTACCAACGTTGGGCCAACGTCGCTTTGCTAGCTGGGAAGAGGCTCATTCCCATCCGAAACAAGCTGATTGAAAGTGGAAAAAATGCCAAAATACGTGTTCAAGGTACTAAGGTACAGTAGCCATTTTTGTTGACAAGGTAATATGGAAGGAATAAATAGTTTGTTTGCATTTTGAGAACAACAATCTCCTAAACATTGATAAGCTTTGACTTTTCAATCGGTAAACTGTGTTTTGCGTGGATTTCTCACAAAATCAGTTCAATAATGTATGTCCATAATGAGTCCTATTATAACTTCCCAGTTTCCTGTTATTCGTGTCACCACTATCATTTTCGTTTAGGCATATACTGCCCATAGTTAAGTGAATATATGTTTATTTGTTTATATGTTGTATGTTGGCAACATGGAGCTTTCTATATTTTATACTTGTATGTTTATTTTCCAATCCGGATGGGTTTCTTATTACTGTACATCCTACTCTATGAATATTTATGTAGATGATTAATTACTGTAATTTTTGTTCAAAAGACATTAGAAGCCATCAGTCAATGATTTTATGTAATATTTGTAACTCGTACTATCATAGACGCTGTGTCTATACTAATGCTAATGTCAATGTAGGCTGGATTTGTTTTAACTGTACTGAAACTATTTTTCCCTTTAACCATTTCGCTGATGACGACGAATATAAATTTGCCGTATTCAGTTTTAATAATAAAATAATATTGAGTATAATAGAATGTTAAATATGAAACTTAATCCATTTGCTCTCAATGATGTGATAAATAACGCTAATAATTTAATTGATTATGATATACCCCATTCGTGTTCCTACAATTTTGAT